CACTCCCCCAGGCATCTCGGTTCGGTTCGGGGTCACTCCCCCAGGCAGTCTTGGTTCTGTTCGGGGTCACTCCCCCAGGCATCTCGGTTCGGTTCAGGGTCACTCCCCCAGGCATCTCGGTTCGGTTTGGGGTCACTCCCCCAGGATGTCTCGCCTGTCTTGTGGCTCCAAGCAAGGGTCATGGGATCCCAGCCTCTCACAAGGCTCCGACTTCCGGAACACACAGCATCCCCAGCCTGCTCCTTCTATGCTCAGCCTCATGATCACAGTGCCCGGACCCCTTCTCCACGGATTTCGGTTCAGGATCGCGCGTGCTTTCCAGTTTCTTGCTTTTTATTCACCTTGAGGCACAGACACCCCCGGCCTCCCATTTTGGAAGGCATAGGGGCAGTAGTGGCCAGAGGGTGCTTTCCTCTGAGTTCACGGGTCAGCAGGGCAGCCTTCAGCTCTGCTGGGGCTGCTGTCCCAGGCCTGGAACTTTCTACTGCACTTGCCCATCGTGGGAGAGGCTGACTCAGCACGGCCTCACACCTGCCTGGGGCAGCAGCAGCAAATGCTGCCGTGCCTAACAGCCCGGAAGGAAGGCACTGTGTCCAGAGCCAGAGCCTTCTGGACACAGTGCCTTCCTTCCGGGCTGTGGCCGCAACTGAGACCCCAGCCAAAGAGGGACCTGTGGCTGCAACTGAGACCCCAGCCCAAGTCACTGGCGATGTCATTGAGGGATCATTCCCAGGAAAGGCAGAATGTGCTGGACCACGGCACAACGCCTGATATGCTCAGAGCTAGGTCGAGGAACGCAGCTTTGCCTGCTCAGAACGGCTCCTTACAGCTTCCCGTCAGGGCTGCCAGCTCCCTGTGCTGGGTGTGCCCCCCCAGTGGAACCAGGCAAGAGGACGAAGGTCACTCCAGATGGTGAGGAAGGGCAGTGGGCAGAGGAAGGGCAGTGGGCAGTGCAAGGGCCCGAAATGCCGTTTGCACTGGGAAGGGCCCCGGACACCCCCACCAGACAGGATCACCAACAGGAGCCTCTAAAGCCCTGAGGAGCTGCCGGCTGGATCTCCTCCTGTGACCCTACAACACGGAAACGCTCAGCGCCAGCTTACAGGCCCCCAGCTGTCTGGAATTTCTCTGCACTCGTGTCCTGTGAAGCAGGGAGCAGGAGTCTTGGGTTAAATCCTGAGCAACAGGTGGTTTCAACACCCTTTCACTGAATCCACCCACGCGGCAAGAGACCATTCTTCTTGGATGCTGGCTGCTCTGGGAGCCATCAGCCCACCCCACCTGCCAGCCTGGAGATGCATCCTGGCCTGCAACTAGGGTGCAGTGCGGGGCAGGGCGTACCCCTGCCTTCTCCCCTATCCCAGGACACCCCCTGCCATGGAAATGCAGGCCTTGGGTATCCCCCACCATGGCCTCACCTCCCCGCCGTGGCCCTCCTCGTCTCCCCGCCGTGGCCCTCTCACCCCGTCCCCTGCCATGGCCTCTCTCACCTCCCCAGAACGACCTGCCTGCACCCTCAACTGTTACAGGCTGATTTGTGTCCCCAAGTTCATGTGTTGAATCCCTTAATCCCCAGAACCTCAGAATGTGACTGGATTCAGAGACAGGGTCTTTACTTGGCCCTGGCGTCCATCTAAGAAGAGATGAGGACACAGACACGCACAGAGGCATGGCCCTGCGGGGCCACACAGAGGAGCAGTACCTGTGGAGGGCACTCTGCTTCTTGCCGGTGAGTGCTCTGTGTGAGGAGCCTGGCAGCCCGAAGCTCTCATGGCCGGCCCTGCCTGCCTGCCTGCCCTGCTGGACACCTGCTCGCCTGCCCACCTGCCCTGCTGGCCCAGGGCCTCCCTGCAGAGCTCATGTGCTCATTGCCCAGAGATGCTCAGGAACGTGGGCTCTGTTTTGGTCAGTTCACAATCCTCCAAGTTAGCCCCTTTCAAGGTGAGAAAGCCGAGGCTCCGAGGGCACAGTGGCTTGCCCAGGTCGTGGGTCCACGCTGTGGGCAGGATGTGAAAGCGCCATGGCAGTTGGCCCACTGGATACGACCACCCTTTCCAGCCTCGGAGATTCAGTGGCGGAGCAGCCCCGGGCGGGGCCCAGCCGGTACTTCCCCTGTCCCCTGGGACCACACGGCTAAAGGAATCCTGGAGACACAGGATTTGGAAGTTTATTTCCCAAAATAAACTGTAAACCAAGGTGTGGATACAGGTATAGCTTCTCAGAGTGCCAAGAAAATGCACATAGCCCACACTGCAGAGCGCGGAGCCTCCCAGGCCCCTGAGGACCACCCTGCCCCCAACGAGCAGCCACACACTCCAGGGTGACGTCAGCTGGGCCTGCCCCACATTAACCCCAGCTGACTAACAGCTGGACAAAGATGGCCAGTCCGTGTTAGCAGAAACCACCGTGTAGACGCAGGCCAAAGTGGAGGGCCCTGCAGAGGCCTTGGCAGTGCCAGCTGACACGTGAGACAGCTCCGTGCCTCCCCTTCTCTGGGGATGGCCACAGTTCACACAGTGCCCAGACAGACTGGGGACAGCCAGAGGGGACGTCGCCCTCGGCCACTGCGGAACTTCCTGCCCCTTGGTGCAAAGGCGGGGCCCAGGACAGGGGGCGAGGGCTACACCCTGGGCTGCAGGAGCCCAGATGCAGGACAGAGGGGCTCTCTGCTGGCTACGGAGCCTCTCAGCGCCTCCACATCATCAGCTGAGTGGGTGGGACGCGATGTGGGCTGAATACCCGTCCCTCCAAAACTCAGGTTGAAACTCAGTTCCCAATGTGTCATCACCGAAAGGTGGGACCTTTACGGGCTGACTGGGTCATGAGGACTCTGCCCATAGGAATGAATGAATTCATTCACATGTTCATGGATTAACGGGTGAAAGGACTAACGTTTATCAGGGGAAGGGGACGGTGGCTTTATAAGAGGAGGAGGGGGAGAGACCCAGGTAGGCGCACTCAGCTCCCTCAGCGCAGGCTGCCCAGCGTGGGTTTAGGCCTCCGCAGAGCTGCCACCAGCCGCCAGAAGGCTGGCACCAGATGCAACCCCTTAACTCTAGACTTCTCAGCCTCCAGAGCCTAAGAGATTGATGGGACAGTGTGGCTTTCGGTGTGAAGTGAGTTTAGGACATAAATCCAGAGACTACTGTCACCTCTTAGAAAGTCTTGCAACCCCAGGGAAAGAGGCTGCCTCTCAGGGAGCCCCATAAAGTGAACTCCACAGGTGCCCCTTGTGCTTGGTCCACGCAGAGCCCAGGCCCCTGCCCGGCAGTTGGGGAAAGGAGCCTCATTTGCTCGGGGGATGGGGTGGGGGTAGGGCAAGTCTGCAGGGCTGTGCAGGTGGGGACAGGTGGAGAGGGCACTCACTAGGTGCTGTGTCTCTTGACTCCAGTTTCCTCTGAAACAGAGTGAACTCACAGGCACCCCCATTTCCTCAGCCTTAACTGACTTCCTGAGACGGTTCAGCCTCAGACGTGTTCTCCCCAGAACACATCCATACAAGACGTGTCTCCCGATTTCTCTTTAATTAATGCAGACCTTCCTGGCTTGTCCAACAAACCTGCCGTGTCTACGGAAAAACAAAGCAGAAGCAGCTCTGCCTGGAGAAGGGCAGTCACTGTGCTTGGCGTTACAGGCGTCACGTCAGGAGCTGGTGTGGAGCCTCCCAGGACTCCCACGGGATTTAACCCCCTCCCACAGCTTCCTGATGCGCCTGGGCTGACCTACTTTCCGCCACAGCATCCCCGACCTCTCGCTCCAAACACAAAGGGGAGGGGCTGACGCTGCAGCTCTCTATAGTCTTCAAATTGTTTCAAAAGAAAAATGAATCTAAGACCAGTGGAAACTGACCCGAACAGTGACCTGTCTTGTGTCGGAATGAAGAAAACGAGGCCTGGGCGCAGGCTGGGTCGGGAATGCAGCACAGTGACCCTTCCCGGCTCTGGCCCCAGGGAGCTCCCCGGCCCCATTGCCATGACACCAGGAAAACAGGAACCAAACATGCCGCTCCTGCAGGAGGAGAGGGCTTGGAATGCTGAAGCCGGGGCAGAGGCTGCCTGGAACTGCTGGCAGCGGCCCCACGGCCCCCTGCTCCTGCCGCTGTCTGGGCCCAAGGCGCCCTCAGTGAAGTGCCCTGGCACAGGTTTATGCCTGCTCCCACTTCCCGCCACTGGATGGGCTGACGGGTTCACCGAGACAGAATTGGTGCCGCGGGCTATAGAGGGTGCTCGCCCTGCTGCTCCTCTCTTCCCCGCAGGCCCAGGGCAAAATAAAGGCAGGGCAGGTAGGGGCACCCCACCCTGTGATGGGAATAGTGTGAAGTCAGCTCAAGCTGCTCTGGTTTCTAAACTGACAAGGCACACAACCAAGACAGCCCATCACAGCTCTCCCGGGTGCTACGGAAGCACAGGGAGCAGGAAATGCCCCATGGGTGCAGCAGAAATGCCAGCTTGGAGGAGGGCTGGGCTGGGAGTGCAGACACCAGGCCTCAAGCGAGGGTATCTGGAGCCACCACTGTCCTGGGCCTCACCCCAAACCCAGATCCCAGCAGTGCCAGCACTACAGTCCCAGTGGCTATGTGGAGGGGAAGGTCACCAACCATATCTGATTAGTGACGAAGTGACGGCAGCAATGGCCACACCTGAGGCAGGTTGTCCCAGCCTGAGCTCACACGGGGGCCTGAAGTCCAACTGGGCACCAGGAATACCAAGCCCAAACTGACAGTAAAAACACAACCTCACACGCTCAGCCAGCTGGTTAAGCTGATGCTGCAAACTCAGAAGGACAGAGGCAGCTGTAACCTCGGCATTCCCCTTTGGGCATATAGAGGCTTCTTGCCCCGTGCCCTGTGCCCTGTCCGCTTTACCCCAGGCCACCTGCTGCACGGGCAGCTCAGACATCGCCATTCCTTCTGGCCACTCAGTCCATGGCTCAAAAGCGTCAGGGGGGACCGGTAAGTCCCCATTAAACTGAACCTCACAGAACCCCAGCCATGGGCTGAGGCAAGGCTAGAGAAGGTACTCATTCCCTCATTTCCCCCCAAACTGAGACAGGAAATCCCTCATTTCCCTCCAAGACAGAGCCCAGGCCTCCCCGTGGGGGAATATGCTATGGCTGCCATCTGCTCCTCCTCACACTTGCGGAACCAACCGGGCCACCCATTGCTACTGGCACTGAACAGGCTTAAAAGGTGAAAGACGAGGCCTTGGGGCATGGGTGGCTCCTGTGATCTCCAGCCTGGGGCCGCCCAGTGGTCCCCAGGGTGCTCTCGGTTGCCACAGCGCCTGTACCTGAGCTGGACAGCAAGTTGCAGGGCAGATGGATGATGGAGATGAAGACGAGGAGGATGAGGAGAAGCCGTGCCCTTGACTGAGTCTTCAGGAGCCCAGGATGCAGCTGCCACAGAGCCGGCCTGCACAGAGGCGCCAAGCTCACAAGCACCGTGTGGGGACCTCCCTGGGAGGCACACTGAGGAGGACTCCAGGGCTGTTCAAGTAACAGCAAACCCTTGACCCTGAAAGACCTCACCTCGGCCCTGCCCTTAGGAGTGACTAGAAACCAGCCCTGAGCTGATTGGTCACAGAGCACTGGGGGTGGCTTTGGTCTCTGGAGCGCCGGCTGGCTGGGCAGAAGCCTGCAGCTTGGGCTGAATGGCTCCGCACAGAGAGAGGGATGGGCGCACACTTAGGTACAGGCTGCCTGAAAACCCATGACAGGAAAAGTGGAGGTGAGATGCTGCCGCCCGGGAGCCAGGGCGTGTGCTCTGCAGCTGCGATTCCGGAGATGTGGGCAAGCCAACCACCCTGCCAGAGCCACAGCCTTCTCCACGGTGCTGCCAGTGCTCTCTGCTCTAACAAAAGAGCTCCAGGGAGAGACGCAGCCAACCAGGCTCCGTGGAGGCCGCCACACGTGGCAGGCACACAGCGCTCCCATACGCAGGTGGTTCACCAGGTCCTCAGCCCTCACCAGTCAGGTCAGCAGACACAGAACTGGGCTCACCAGAGATAGGCTTCGGGGTGATGCGGTTCCCAGGACACGTGCTGACGGAACCTAGGGAAAGGTGGCATGAGCCTGGCTTCTCCATGCAAGGCATCCACAAGCTGCGCTTCTCCGTCCACAGAGAGCTGCGTGCGGCTCGGCCACAGGACCCAAGATGCGATGCTGATGTCACATGCTGCTTCATCTCGGGCACGGGCCACGGGAGACGCTGTGGACTACAGAGCTGCTCAGATGCCGCCTACGTCACCCAGGTCGTGAGATAAGGCAGCATGTGCCGGCAGCACCCCACGGCGCTGAGGTTCTTCTCTTCACACCCCCTTCTGGGTGAATGCAAGCTGAAATGCACCGCAGGACAGGCCATTTGGGGAAAAGTGAAGTGGGAAGCATCCGTCTCACTCTGTACACAAAAATAAAGTCCTGATGGATTAAATATGATAAAAGGCACTACCGAAGCACCGCAGAGAACACAGAAGGGCCACAAAATACACAGAAAACACAGAATCTGCTACAGAGAGACTTTAAGCCTCCACAGAGAAAAAAATAACGTGAACAAATTCAAAAGAACTACCAATGAGGGGGAGCCATCTGCAGTTAACAAAAGAGATTGCTTCCTTCCTACACAGCTTTTCCAAACCAATAAAAAGCAGAAAAGAAAAACAGGAAAAGGCACACACAGACAGCTCACAGCGATGAAGGCTGAACGGAGCCTTGCAGATGAAGAGCTGCACATTTTGCAAACCAGGCAATGCTGCGCGGGGTCCGCCTCGGCAGATGCCCCATCCGCATGCTCCACAGGCACAGGCTAGGGACGGAGGCAGACATGGTGCTGCTCCCGGCAGAGTCTGCAGAAGGCAGCCTGGCAAAGCCTGTGAAGCACTGGACATTCATCAGGTTGGATCAGCAACTCTGCTGCCATGGTTCGATTTACAAATCTCTTTACTCACATTCACAAGGACCGCCCATGAGGGCGCTCCCTATAGAGTTGGGTACACCGGACAACAAAACTTCAGCAGCTATGGAGAGCGGCAGTGACACAAGACTGCCCCAGGACGCAGCCCAGGAAGGGCAGACGCACACTCACTTGTGAAAAAACAGAGGGGGCTGTGCCTGTGGTTCCAGCTGCTCAGGAGGCCAAAGTGGGAGGACTACCTGAGCCCAGGAGGTCGAAGCTGAAGTGAGCCCAGATTGTACCACCGCACTCCAGCCTGGGTGACAGAGCAAGACACTGACTCACCAAAGAAAAAAAAAGGAGAGGAGCAGAGAGAACAAGACATCTGCGGCGGGGAGGCTGTCACTCAACAGTAGTTTGCATTGAGTTTTTCACAATGTCTTTCCTGTGCCACTTTGTACAATGTCACCAAAAGGCCGTTCCACAGGAATAAGCCAGAGAAGGCACAGCTTTCCCCGGGAGCACCGGTGGGCGAGCATCCGAGGGGTGCACGCACCCAGCACTAGAACAGCTGGAGGAAGCGGCAGGAGCACAGGGCCGGGGAGCTGGGCAGTGGCAGGGCCAGATTCCCTCCTCTCTCTCTCTGCTTTCCAAGTTTTCTTCCTTCTTTATGCCACACATTTGTCATTAGGTGTCCATTTTAAAGAAAAACTCAAAGACATTTTTAAAAATTGGTGACAAATTGTCCTGGTCAAAGACAGCACCCTGGAACAAAACTCATCAACGACACAACACCCCCAGCAGCACACTTTCTAAAACTCATGCAACCACAGTTCATTTCTAAAAATGCCTGTCGGTGAAAACCCTCTTTCCCTAATGAATTCTTAGATGCCCCAAACAGTTCTGTATGTCAAAAGGACAGACTTAAAGCCTGGGCAACATAGCGAAACCCCGTCTCTACAAAACATACAAAAATTAGCCGGGTGTGGAGGTGCGCGCCTGTAGCCCCAGATACTCTGGAGGCTGACGAAGGGGAATCACTTCAGCCTGGAGGCTGCAGTGAGCTGAGATTGTGCCACTGCACTCCAGCCTGGGAAACAGAATGAGACCCTGTTTCAAAACAAACAAAAAAGGACAGACTTCAAACTCTTACAACTGACTTCGAATACAAAGACACTGGTCTGGCCGAGGCTGTGGCAGTGGAGCTGTCTTCCTGCAGATGTCCACCCCTTCCCTTCCCACCCCATGGCCCAGGAGGGGATGAGCAGCGGCCAGGGAGGACAGCAGCAAAGGGTTGGACCCCACACGCCCAGGCCCAGGCGCAGGCCTCTGTGCCGCACACCCTCTGGACAGCAGAGGGTGCCCAGCCCACTGACTGTCCTGGCAGCCCCCAGCCCTCCACCCAGACAGGAGTAACTCCCGCCTGCCCCTCTCCGTCCCTCCCCTCCTGCCCCTCTCCGTCCCTCCCCTCCTGCCACTGCTGACCAGCCCATCTCCATGGCCTTCAGCCCAATCTCAGGAGGGACAGGGCCCTTCCAGAGAACAAGGAGCACCACAGATCACAGGGATGGGGGGACATTTCCACTGCTGGTCCCTGTGCCCACCTCTGCTGTTCTGAGGAATGGCAAATAGCTCACCTCATCTCCCTTCTCCCACGACCTGAGGGTGGACATTCAAAACCACAGACAAACCTGCCGATGGCCAGAGTTCTCAAAGTGCCACGTCGGACAGACCCCACCCTCCAGGCAACACCATCTGCCCCAGGCAGGGGCTCAACATTGCCCCTGAGAGAAGGCAGCCCTAAGAGCAGCGGAGTCAGCCTGTGCACGGCACCCACAGAACGCTCGGGCCCCTCTGCTCCTCTCAGGAACCCACTGACCCGAAGAGGCGGAGTCCCACGGGATGTGGCCTTGCAAGCAAGTATCATGGAGCTGATACAGATCAGAAATGTGGGCTCCAAACCCCACAGGAGTCTCTCCACGCCCACCCCAATGTCAGCTCACCCCACAGGGAACCTCCAGAGCCCATACCAGAGCAGGGCTGACGGCAGATGCTGCAGGTGCTCTAAGAGCAGCATGGCTTCTTGCTGTCCTGTGAGCTCCCAGCCAGGGTCACAAGGTGAGAGAAACATCTAACAGGCCTAAGAATGGAGAAGCAAGAGACAGATCCCCACTGTCCCCATACACAGCATGGTCGGGTATTCAGGAAATGCCAAAGGAGCGACAGCTATTGGGACTGAGGGTTTCAGCAAGGCCTTGGGGTGCAGCCAAGGTTTGCAGTGAGGAGGTACCGGCAGCACCAAAGGGAAGAGCAGTCAAAGCCAAGAGCGCTTGGGGTTGGCACTTGCTACCCAGGGACAATGAGGCACAGAGCACCAAGGTCACGCTACTGAGCAGAGGAACCCAGACTGCGGGCCAGAGGCACTCTTGGCCTCCTGTAGCCTCACCCAGCCTGTGTCTTAGGGATCTACCCAAACCAACCTGTCCCACTTGGAAAGGAGTGAGCCCCAGAGAACTGCTTCAGTCCCAAGTCTACAAAGGACAGACTCCCGAGGTGTGGACTGCCAGGGATGGTGCCTGGGAGCGGCTGTGCGGCTCACCTACAGGTGTCCTGCGCTGGGAGACACTGCTGGCGCAACTCCTGGTGGGTTCGCTGCTTCGGGGGCCCCATCTAGGGAATCTCACAGGATAGCCTCCACGACCTGCCTACAACTTGGACCCGCACATCAGAAAACCACAGTGCCCAGGACTCAGCTGCCCACAGGTCCTGCCCACAGGTCCTGCCCACAGCTGCATAGGGTCTCTCAATGTGACAGGCCGGCCACGCGCCCTCAGGGGGAAGGGACAGGCCTGTCGAAGGGAGGGCACTCGCTGCACCTCCCATTAGAAGCGGTGTCCGAGGGTGAACCAGGAGAGCCCACTGCACAGGCTCGGCTTGGACCTTGCCAGGCAGGGTTTGGAAAACACACCAGGTGAGGTGCCCTGGAAGAGGCTGGCAGAGGCAGGGCCCTGGGACCTCCTAGGCTAGGCTAAGGCCTGCAAGTCAGAATGACTGCCACGCCCTGAATACAGCAGCACCCGGGGTCCCAGCAGTTCCCTGCTCACCCCTAAGTTTCCATTTGAAACCGCTCCGC